GGACCTTCAGTGTGTAAAACTGACGTGATAACCACTCACACTCATTGAGACCAGTATGCTAAATAAGTCCCGGGCAAAAGTTGATCAAATTTTCAAGTTAACTAATAGAAATCGAAATCCAACTAATGGGGGAGGGAGGTTCGAACTTAGGGTCTCCTCCAACACTGGGAGGAGCAGTATCATTAGACTAATTGTTTTAATTAGTTGAAATGTTAGTTGAAATTCGGAAATGTTTTAATTATATTTAGGTTGATTTTATCACAGATTTGTACTCTTAATTATGTTTTCAGTATCTGATTTAATCCTTTTTTTCTTATTTTTTATCCTTATTTCTCTTTCTTTTGCTTGGTGTCCATGCAAATTGTTTTTGTGTTTTTATATTTTATGTTTTTAGATGTTCTTTTGACAATCGTGTCATGATTCATTTGCATTTATGTTGTGCGTTTACTAAAATATATTGGATATATTATTTCTGCTACAATCGAATTGACTGTTTTATCTGCAAACCATAGGAAACTGTCCAAAAAAACACATCTGAAGGAGTGCTCGATTGACTTTTTCGTTCATGTTGAGGTAAAACAATAAAATAATTTTCTGATATAAAAAAATACACCTGGAGGAGTGCTAGATTGACTTTTTTTGTTCATCTGTTGTTCTTAGCACTGTCTCGATCTCATCTGCAACAGAGGCCGCAGCAGCAGCAGCAGGATCAGGCAGGAGATCAAACTCTCCAATCAAGGCCTCCAAATCAAATCTCAAAGATCATCATCATCGTTTCTCTCACTGCCTCTCTATCTGACCCTGCAGTGCAGCAGGGCAGACGCCTAACAAACTGCAAAACCACAATCAACACTTTGAAGAACTCTTCAAAATGAGGTAATTTTAATACCCTCCCCCACTTCATACTGAAAACCGCATACATATACAACATGAAACAACAAATATGCCACAATTTGAAGCATGAAAATGCAAGCATACCTTGCCTGCAGATAATATACTATCGAAGGGCGGAACAGAACAAGGTAGGTGCATTGGCCCTCCTTGCAATATATACGTCTTGACTGTACATAAATTTGAAGGTCAATAATGTCGAATAAGAAACTAAAATCACAACCTATGAGTGCGATGTTCACCATCATGGTGTACTCTCTTAATACCTGACGTGGAAAACAGGAAATTGATGACCCCTTGCAAATTTTGAATATTTAGATAATTTATATTACTTATTTATCTTTGTGTGTCTCTATGCATGCCAAACGATAACAAACATAAAAATAATAGCAGACACTTCAGAAATGCAGTTGAAGGCATTTCTTTCAAATGATCAAAATGACAGTCAAATATGGGCTGTGAGGATTGTCATGCTCTCAACAATGCGACATACATAATATCAGAAACATGGACAGCTACTGAAACTGAAAACCTAAGAGACAGTAGCTTCAAAAACTAGTCCTACATGATGAAGAAATCTACACCAAAAGAACTGCAAGTACACAGGAAACAGCATGTGAGCTCCGCATCCTACCTCGTACTTAAAGAGATGCAATTTGTAAAGAAAGAATAAAGTGCTTCAATTTTTTAGAATCACGACCATCCTGTTGAGCAGAGAAATTAAAGAACTCATAGGGAATCGACGTGAAAACAAAGTGCCGGTTGTCGACTACCTGACGCCCTCCCCCTCCTCCTTTATCCGGGCTTGGGACCGGCAACGTAAGATAAACTTACACAGGCGGAGTTAGAAAATCAAAGAACAGTAAAAAGAAAATCAGTTATGGACAAGATGTCAAGACCAATAGAACTGTAAAAGCAAAACAGTCCAAAAACACAACTGAGGACAACAGCGAGAAACTTGCATTGCTGGTCCAAAACAGAAAGTGACACATCTAATATAGACTAAGGTATGAATACTAAAAATTAAAGAGAGAAAACTTACATTCCACAAAAAATCCATAAAAACAGTGGCAAGAAACATGATAATTGTCCTTATCGTCAACAAAACTATCAACACGTTCACAAACTGACACAGAACAGTTAACACACCATGTTACCATCAAAATTCAAGCACAATACACAGAACATGCACACGCTCACAAGCCACATATGCAGAGGGAGTAATTCAAAGGAAAAGAAAACATTAATTTGGTTTTCAAATTTAGTATAGTAATTAAAATCATCAACCTTGAAACCTTCTTTCAATAAAAATAAAAAGTAAGAAACTTGGGTGGAAAAGGAATGTATTATAAAGCATTCAGTGCATTAAAATTGGAAACGAACCTAGAAGCTCATACATAGACATGACTGGGGGAAACGCAGTAGAGACCTGAGGTGCGGCAAAATGAAAGGCAGGCAATGGATCAGTACGGCAGAGAAGAAGGCCCAGGTAAACACCTATACCAAATTTCTTAATTAACTAATGAACCAAAAGAAATCAAAGCATATATACTAAGAACGGAAATAAAATATATCCTGATCATAACTGTGCTTCTATATGCACGCCATGGAAATTAGACAGCTGCTGTCACCTCTACGTCCCTCTATTGATCATTCACAGAATCGCTCATCCACAAACAGTCTGTCCAGTAATTAAACCCGTCTAACGGTTGGCTGAATTCATCAATTTGAGGCCACTCCTGGGGCAATTTACCTTCAAGCGTTGTCAACCATTCTTTAATGTCTCCACGCACTGCTTCACCATCTAAAGGATATTCCTCGCCGCCCAAGAATACCGGAGAAGAAGGAACATCACTCATCAGTGGCACATATTCATGATCTGAAATATGAGTGCGAATGGGCATCACATTTCCGTTAATGTAGCTTATGCACCCCTGGTCGTGATTGGTAGCATCGCCGTCCAAGCATATGGGATAAGAAGGAACATCACTCATCAATATCACACTATCCTGATCAGAGAAATCAGTCGGCTTCGCATTGCCGTTAATGTTGGTTATGCACTCCTGATCCTGATACCTAGTGTCAGTAATCATATTGCTTTCAGTTCCAACAAAAGGCACAACAGCAGGGGTATTGGTGATCACATTCACATTAGAATGTTTTTGTGAACCCGGTTCTTTTCTTGCTGTCTTTCTCTTAATCAGAGGCTTCTCCTTCGATACTTCTTTTCTTGCCCTCTTAATCGGTGGCTTTTCATTGAAGTCGTGAGTTGGACTTGAGGAATTCATCTTGTTTCCGCACCTAGACCTCGGATTCCTTTTAAGTCGGGAAAGAACGACCTTTGGGCCAGCAACTACATTAGGAAGAAGACTGTACTCTTCTAACAGCCAGCCGCCATTGTTTTTAGAACCCTTTTTGTTATACCTGAAATGCCCTTTATCCCCGATTGGAATTCCGTCCAAACCTAAAACTTTGTCGGAGGATGTTTCGCTCCAAGTGCCTCCGGCTTCGATCTGGCGTTTGCTGCGGCTGTCGCTGTCGCTTCTAGAACGCAGCTCATAGAAGAAGAACAAGTCCTGATCAGTAGGATGAAACCGAAAACCCAATGGCATACCGTAATAACCCACCTCCATTGTTAAACGCGATTTCAATTCAATGCAATTCAACACGAAACAAATGCAGCAGCAAAAACCCTAAATTTTTCTTGGGCACAAAATAAAGAAGAGAAAATAAGCGAGAAATTAAAGAGAAGAAAAAGGGAAACCTGGAAGCCGATTTCGCTCGCCCGCCGAGGAGAGCAGATCGTCGATGTCTCCTGAATCGTCGTCTTCGTCCCCAAACAAGAGCAACTGAAGAGGAATCGATTTCGAGTATTCTGTAATTCAATTCAACCGGAGACTGTTGGAGCACTGAATTCCAATTCTGGTTCAAATTCGAACGCGCAGAGAGAGCGAGAGAGAAAGATCTTGAGAGAGAGATCTAGTGAGAGAGAGAGAGAGAGAGAGAGAGAGTGGATTTGAAATTTAAATGGAAGAAAATATGACCGTTTGGTTTGGGAACTGGATGTTAACGTTGCAAACTTGCAAGCTCACCGCTTAAGCGCGGGTTTTTATCACGTGGCATTTTCATATCCATGAAACCCTAAATCCCCAAATTGTGGAATCTAGATTCTTGTCGGATTCTTTTTTTTTAGAATCCCGGAGATTCATAAATCATATCCGCTTATTTTACATTGTATGTTCCGAAATTATTTTAAATTTTAATTTAAAATTAAATACAAATAATACCTGACAAAAATTGACCGTACAATGTATAATAAACAAACACAATTTACAGATCCTCAAGCTCGCCACCAAAATGATGGATCATGTTGGTAAATTGTGAGCCGAATGACTAAAAATACACAGGAAAAAAAAAAGAATTTCGATTGGGCTGGGTTCCCTTTTTTACTTCTTGGCCCATTTTTTATTTTGTTGGGTTCAATCTTGGTTTTCAGGCGTTCTATTGTCAATTTTTTTAGATTTTTATATTAGATTAATGAACCCAAACATTTAAGGGTGAATGTTGGATTGAAGGTTTCGATTTCAACACGAAAAAGATTTGTTTCGTATTTTTATTCACATAGCATTGCATGATTGACACGAGAAGTTATAGTCACGATGTACTAATGTCATAGAAATTGCTCAACATGGATATGTTTTGCAATAGGAAATTGTGACTGCCTTAGACATGGGAAATCATAGGAAATCACGATTTTTTTTAATTTCCTATGTCCAAGCCACAGTCACGATTTCCTATGATTGACACAAGAAGCCATAATCACGATGTTCACGTGGCGCTGCATATACATTTTCCATAGAAGTAACAAGATTTTCTCCCAACTCTAATACACCTTTATGTTCTTCCTATCCAAAACTTTGTTGGAGAAGATTTCATAAGAAACACGTCCGGAATCAGTCATTAGCAGATTGATTATTCATGAAACTGAAATGTAGAGGTCGAAACAAACAGTGATAAACTGAGTACTACTGTTCTCCACGACGACAATGTCTGAAAATTGAAACAAAAACTGAGAGTGTGCTGAAAGAAATGACAAGAACAAACGTAAGTGCAGTCAGAAGTATTGGGAACTTCATGTACATTCATATGTATATTGTCTACAGATTTCCTCAAGATTGACAAAAGCACAGAGTAAGACCACCAGCTAGACGAAATAACAGACTGAAAACTATTCTATCCACAACAATAACAACAACAACAAAGTCTTTTCCCACTAAGTGGGGTCGGCTATGTGAATCCTAGAACGTCATTGCGCTTGGTTCTATGTCACATCTTCCGTGTAAATAAAAAGACTGAAAACTAATAAACTAACTATGATTAAACCGGAAGTCGGAAAGAAAAAGCTGAAAGGTTACCGTGCTCATCTAAATTCTTGAACTCTACTAGTAGTATAAAAACAAGAGCTGACGCTTCTAGATGATGATGATGGAGAGCAAGCAAATCAAGAGAAAATGGAGAACCGAGGCCCGTGGCCTTCGAATGTTTCCAACCACAACTGGCAAAATAATGATTTGAGAAGGAGGGAACGGGATGATGATGATGAGCAGAGTAGTGTGATCAGGTTCAGTAGCTTGATGTACATGATCTTGATTTGGGTCTTCATCATCTTCTCCTCCAATATGATTAAAGAATTCAGTGATCAAGTCCTCCTCATCATCCAACTCTCTTTCATCCGTGGTTCTTGGCCCCTCCTCAATCTCGTGATCATGATGACGGAGATGAGTAGTTAGCCGAGGCACAACAGCAGCCTCGTCTGCAGCAGAGGCCGCAACAGCAGAATCAGGCAGAACCTCAAACTCGTCAATTAAGGATCCTAACAGATCATCCTCCCAGCAATCATATGCTTCGGTGGTGCTGCTTGAGGACCCCTCGTGATGAAGTAGATCATCAAGCTCCCTAATCGAGTCCTCCACTGCCAAAAGACCATCATCCGAATCATGAGTCCTCTGCCTCTTGACCGTATCACCCAAAACCGTAACGGCAGCATCGGAATCGGAATCGGCATCAGGGAAACGAGGACGCTTGAGAGAAGAGACAGTGGGCCTCAAATCTTGACCCCCCATCTCCAATTTCTTCACGAAACACAACACAAACAGACGAAAGCGGTGTGCTTTCTGCGAAAACCAAAACCCTAAGTCGGTAATGTGGAAGAAGAAAAAGCAGAAATTAAAGATCAGCTCGGAGTGCGACTGAATTGATTATACGGGATTTGGGAATTAGGGTTTCTTGTTACAGTGCTAGACAGACAGAAATTAAAGATAACGAGAAATAAAACAGAAGAAAAGGCATGAACTGAACCTGCAACTGGGAACAAGTCGTCGACTTTCTTCTCAGAGAAAAGGATGGATTCGTCCCCAAATTTGAATCGAGCTTCCAATTTCAACAGACAGAGAGAGATCAAGCGACAGAGAGAGAGAGCGAGCAACAAATTTGAATTGGGCTTCAAATTCGGACGCACACAGAGAGAACGCAACAATGCAACACGACCGTTTGAGCGAGAGTGAGAGCGATCCAGAGATCCAGTGAGAGAGTGGGATGGGGGTTTTGAAATTTAAAGAAGGGAAAATATGACCGTTTGGGAATTGGACCGCTTAAACGCGGGTTTCATCACGTGCCGTTTTCTTTCTGCTCTTTGGCGCCTGCGAGTGGGAAGCCCTCCCCAATACAACCCAATTGTGTTCCGAATGACTAAATTACCCTCGAATTACGAATCACGCAGTTCCCAGATCTCAGGGTATTTTAGTCAAACCAAAAACTCAAAGGATCGCAGAATCGTGTCACTGTCTTGGTTACCGAGTTGTTTGTGTTTGATCCAGATGTATGTGAGAAGTGTGACGTTTGGGAGTATGCGATGTGTGTAAGGTGTTGGATAAGATTTTGAGATTGATAAAAATAATCGTTGAATTTGTCCACCATTAATTATTTTAAATGATTTCATAAAAAGTTCTATTAAATATGAAAAAAATAATAAAAATACTCTTAATTTAATACATAATTAGCCAAAATGATTTGATAAGAATTAAGGATATTTTTTATCATTTTATCCTTATTTGATGAAAATTTTACACGAAATGACCAAAATGATTGATAGCGGGTAAACTCAGAGACCACTTCTATAGATCTTAAATCTCAAGAATTAGAGTGATAAGTTATGTTAATCTCAATGATCATTTTGACTATAAAACTTTAAATAATAGACCGCTGAAATCAAAATTGTCAAATTCCTCCTCCGTATTATTTCCACACTCATCTTTATTCTCAACCCATCAAATTTCCTCAGCATTAATATACTTTTTAGCCATCTATATTCTCAACCCATCAAATTTCCTCAGCATTAATATACTTTTTAACCATGATTTTCTAATAATTTAGTCAAAACATTTTCCAAATATCGATTGTACACATGTTTAATGACTTTGAAACAAAAAAAATGGCCATATTTTAATTACCAAAATATATTTCAAATACCAAAATATATTTCAAATACAAATAGGATAGAATAGGGCTAGTGTCATAGTGGAAACCAAGCATTCATGTCGTTCACCGTTCGAAGCAGAATTTAGATGAACCAACATTCTTGATCATACGCTAGTTGAGCGCAAACTGCAAAACCAAAACCAAACAATGACGCGAGAAGCATCAGATATGCAATGTTTTTCCCCGTTACCCATTACCTGCTTTTAACTATTACAATGAATGCAATTCGGAATAATTTCACAGCATACGGGTTCAGAAAACGAGTCCAAACACAAACGTTACTGAAACTGATACGAAAATATATAGAGCATATCTGCATTCACAATAGACAACTGCAATATACTTAAATTAGGTCGTGGAACCCCTAGTTTATAAGCACATCGATGTTATGTACAGAATAATCACATTATGTTTCCACCAACACACACAAATACCCACAGGCCAACCTTTTTTTACCCTAAAAGGCATCTGCATTTCTTCCATTTCAGACCATCATAGTTTTCGTACCATAGAATCCATCGTCTGTTGTACACTTGTTCTTAGCTTGCGTTAAGTTCTTTTCTCCAACAGACTCGGGAACACAGGAAGCTCGAATACTCACCAACGGTGATGGCACATGTGGCAGGCGTGGAATTGTTGTACGATACTGATCACAAGTCCAAATATACGTGCTATACATTTCTGCTGGATCCACCACCTCGACTGGTTACCTTTCCCTTTCCACCTTTTGCTTTGCTGCTTCCTACGTTTTTTGAGCTTGTTGACCCACCGCAAGCTGCTTGAGAGTCCACATCACATAGGCCTTTCTCTAATGCCGTTACCAGGTTCTGGAAGTAATTTTTAGTCACCCTGTCACAATTGGGAAATGGATGAGAAGATTGAATCAGGCAAGGGAGTGAATCAATTTGTACTCACAGATAACTGACCGTGCAACACAATAACAGACCTACTCTAATTTTAAAAAAAAACTAATCCGCAAGTAAATTACATGATAAATGACTAGAGACAGAAAAACCGGTTCTTGTATACTTTTATTTATCTCTTCTCTTCGCACACTCAGAAAAGGATATTGTCTTCCTTCCAGTTCCTACACTAAAGACTCACTGATTCGACCTTTTCGTTTGCTGCATTTTGCATCCAGATAATGTTGAACAGACAACTATACACTAGGTTGATAAAAAAAAAATGATACACTTGGAAATTCAGTGGGGTTAACCATATCAGAGATTTCCTCTATATTTACACATAACTCCATTTGTTTTTTTTGGACAAGACACATTTCAACACAAAACATCCCATAGAAAATGAATTTCAACTAATATTTCATCACAATATTTACCCGGTAAGTCCAGCTAGCTTTGTATGGAAATCAACGAATTCTTTTGATGGGCCTTCTGCACTAAGGAATTGCAGTAGCTCCTTCTCTGCACACTGATGAAGCCTTTCCAAAGCAGACTCTGCCTCACCTGAAGACAAGCAGAATTGCAAATTTCAGAAAACTTTAAAAACAACTCCTAACTAGTTCCTGCAGATATACACAGTTCATACCTTGCAAGTACTCAAAAAACTGCCTCTTCGCTTGCTCACGCTCTGGCAGGTAGTACCCATAAGCATACGTCCATTTTAGTACTCTCCTACATTCAACAATCTACAAACACAAAGAACAAAAGGCAAAAATAATGTCGGCATTTCATCACCAAACAAATCTGATTTGATGTTATACATACACTGTGCACTAAACTAATTCATTTTATATCTAACAAGAAACGCAGGAATTCACCTGCTGCCAGGCATCGGTTATGAACTTGAGCTGAGACTCAGGCTCACGCTGTATGTCACTAAGTTTCTCCATCTGAGAGAGAAAAACAAGGTATCCATCAGTAGTTATTACATAGTAACTTCACAGAAATCCAAAATAGCTGACGAGAGTCCGGTTGAAACAATCGTACCCAACATCTTCTAGCATTCAGAGATTTTTCTCAGTAAGAAACATAAACGTGTGTGTATATACACCTTTTTTTAACTGAAGAAACCCAATCAAGATAAAATACACTGAATCTCTTAAATGCTTTAACAGAGATTTTAAAAGGAAACAAAAGATTTAATACTATCTCTTAAGTATATGCACTTCCTTGCCTTCTGTCAAAAAAAGAATAACCTGCCATTTCCTTCCTACCACGCATTCCATACAGGAGCCAATACTCCACGCTACTAAACATGAATCTCTTACTTAATGACCGAGATAGTTCAAGAGCCACCCGACCGTCTCACGAGTCATAACCTGTCTCCACCTACAGACACTAATTCTATCCCCTTTACACACTCAAGACATAAGTTTCCTACTCCTGGATATGGGAAAAAAAGGTAACATCTTCGACAGATGCAAATGAGACATCCATATAGCGTCCCTAACATAACATTAACTAAACTCAGACAACCAACTCTCACCTCCCTCAGTTTTATAAGATGATGCTTACTAATTTATTTTTTTGAAGTAAATGCTTACTAATTTATTAGAAAGTCAATAAAACTATACTTGTCAGAAACAAATTTTTTTATAAAGGATGATTTTTTAATTTACACTGTCAAAGTCTACCCGTTGACATGAGGGGGTGTAAGTGCAACCACAACTATGCTTCTAGTTCTACAATCCGGTCGAAAGATGAGAAACACAACTATGGTCAATTTTCTATTCTCTCAAGTCTAATTTCTGAAAGGTGAAAACATATAAAATCTCATGTTTATGTTGTTAACCCTACGCAAACTTAATTTCTAGCCTTGCATCTATGAATAGAATAAGTACAATCTTCCTAGCATCTGTCATTAGCAACATGGTCAATTACAAATACAATCTTCCTAGCATCTGTCATTAGCAACATGATTGATTACAATTGATCAATAATATTTCATATCTGCAAAGTTTAAATATGGTTCTAGTTATACACTAGAGTAGAAAGATGAGCTCTAAGATCTTATTGTTAAACACATTTGAACTTCATCCAAGAATGAAAATCACTAACACATGAAATCATGTATACATGTTTTATTCGTACATATGTATGTGTGCATGTAGCACATATACTTACATGCACAGTTCGCATTTGATTCAAATCCGCAAGAGCCTTTTGCCTCGACTGCCAAGGAAGAAAAAAAATTAGTCCAATGATTGAAGGATAGAGGGACTTTCATAAAGATCCATTTTAAAGCAGCATTAAGGCTTAGCCAATTAAATTCATAAAATGGAAGAATAATGCACAGAAAAATCTTGATTCTAATTTAAGAAAGCTTCCACCCTCCTATGCAGCCCTGCAAAACTGAAGTCACGCACAGGTGTCTACCTACCTACTACTGTTTGCCACAACAAATTCGGTGAAAATTGAAATAGAAACCCAGTGTGTCATCAAAGAAGTGTCAAGAGAAGCAGGATCTTCTCTGATCATTGAGAAAAAGGTCACCGACAAAGTACACAGCCAGGCTACTAACATAACTGAATTTGTTAAAAATTGGCTTGATGAAGATCTCTTGCATGAATTCATGGTATAGCACAAGAAACAGTGGAAATTTGAAAAAGAAAATTGTGAATACCTGTTGATTGCTTGCCCAACGTTCATAATAATGAGTGTATTTCTCCAGAGAATTTTTTGCCATTTCTCTTCTTCTCTCAGCTTCATCATACTACAATCAATAATACAAACTCTAAGTAATAGAAGAAAAAGAAAGCTATTCTTCCAAAAGGGGAAATAAAACAGATAAGTATAAATCCTTACAGCTCCCTCTTGCTTAGCTGCCTCGTAGCGGTTACATGCATAGAAACCACCCGTCCTTTCACCATGCTCCGCCCATGAACCAAGGCAAAGCCTGCATGGTACATATAATTCATTTAGCATCACATGTAAAACTTAACCATATTAGAACAGAATCAAAAGAAAAGTATTCAGATATTTTTTTTTCAAACAATAATAAATTTCCATTCAAGTAAGAAACAGATGCAGAAAGCATACCAGCAAAATTCAAATTTGCAAGGTGGTGTGCATGTCATGTGCATACATCCTTGGTTTTTTTCAATAGGCCGCTTGCACTTTGGACATGGCTTAGAATTGGCCAGTATCCTGAGCATCATCAACAAAGGTTAGGACAGAACAATACAAAATGAAACATGAATTACCAAGAATTCCACCAACTCACATAAAAGTGTTAATAAAAGTTAACTTTCAATGGTGTATCTGAAACTAAAACTAATAATGTTTTCACTTTGC